ACTTTTTCCTCCCTGCACTGTGAATGTTTACATGTTATGTGCAATTAAACCATGGCAACATCTAATGTTTGTGTAGTATTATGTTCAGCAGACTGTGTTCTTCTATTGTTGTGACTTAGATGACGTTCAGAGCACATTTTATGCCCAATTCATGCAAAACTGCACGTAATCCCAAGGGGTTCACATACTTTTTCTTGCAACTGTATATTGATCTCTTTAGCATAAAGCATGTTAGTTGGTACTGAAAATTAGTTCCAGAAGAATTGTTGTTTCCATTATAATTAATGGGTGTCCTGTGCTCTGTCTGGAAGGAGTTGGACATAGCTTTATGTTTTATGGCTGACTATGTTTCTTAGGATTCTCCCATATCTCTTGAATGAAATTGATCCGCACAACTGTCACTGCTCTAAAATCTTCATTTTTATTCAATCAACCACTGTAAAAACATTACAGGTACAAAAGATTGACGCGTTTCGACTTAACAAGCTTTAGTCATAACCCATATCTGTCACTTTATAGGTCTTGCAGCTTTATAGATGGTAGGATGATTAAAGCACATCTGCAAATGACAACAAGTTAAGCAGACTATGCTCATACAATGGTGCTTTTATGAAGACACCCTAAAAATATTCCAATACCATCTGAAAGCAGACAATTTTCATGTACTGGCATCTGGAACCAAACTTTTTCACATGTCAACGATAACACCAACAAAGGGGTTGGTGAGGGTCTTTGAACCCTGAAAAATGTTTTGGCTTTTTTACTGTATGTGACGCCTATTAAAAATCACTTCTGGACTCGTCACTATGGGGGTGATATACTAAAACTGGAGACTGCAAAATCTGGTGCAGCTGTGCATTGTAACTAATCGGCTTCTAACATTTGCCTGTGCCAAAAAAACCTGGAACCTGATTGGTTTCTATGCAGAGCTGCACCAGTTTTGCACTCTCCAGTTTTAGTAAATTGCACCCTAAGATTATATCGTTTTGAAAAGATGGGCCATATGGGATTTTCCTTCAGAATAGGTATACACTTGAGTGGGGTTCACTTGGATTGAAATGATCTAAATTGAGGTGATGGGGGGGGGGTGATTTGTGTAGGCAATAGTGGTGAAATTCAATTGTTTTGTAGTTTGGATAGAGTGAGTGAAGGGTTCAGATCTCTGTAAGGTGGTTCTTTCTGTCTGTGTCCTGGATATGTCACCTTGATAATAGGGTACTTTGTGTTTTTGAAATATTGTCTGTTGAGTGTGACCAGATAAGTAAATAGTTGCTTATGGAATGACAGCCTTTTTTATTATCACTTACATTTGAAGATTTACTTTTTTCTGGCACAAGCTGAACATCCTGTGTGGAATACCTTCTCCATATATTCTCCTGTAGATTCCAGTAGGGAGCCAGTGCCACATAACCCATTGTGGATTCTTCAAAGAATTATATAGAGAAGAATCAATGGGTTCATCTAACAGCATGCCTTTGCGGTCATGACAATACTTGTGTGCAATTTTGACCCACTCAGTTAATCATATAATAGATACCAACATCCTCAATATAAGGGTTTAGAAAGGTTTAGAACTGAATGGGACTTTCTTGGTACCAATGTCTACTAAAATCTAACCCAATCTCAAAATTGCATAACTTTTAATAGTACAGTATAAATTTCCAAGAAGAGTGTGGAAACCTGTTTATCAGGAACACAAACAAAACTCCTGATGGAAAATTAAATTACTTTACTTTGTTAAATATATGCTTGCCAGTATTCACCATAAAAAATGATTCAAGTGCTACCACCGATATGTAGATGCTGTTGCATTGTGCTTACTAGTGACAAAAAGCATGTCAGTGTCTGGAGTGCCAAACATGAAGCCTTTGTGACTGAAGAGAAATTGTACCCTTTTCCCAAAGGGAAGAAAATAATAATTTTATAAGCAGAAGTGCTGAGGTTTGTCTATTTCAGAAAGTGGTGTTAGGGGCATTGATGTGATGACTGGTACATTGATGGGCCCATATATATTTCTCTATGTAGTCCTGAAATTGTGATAAAAGTTTAAAAATGTCCTTTGTATAGCCAACAATAGTCCTTTTTGCATCCCAGGGCAGTTGATGGGGATCTGCAAGGAGGGGCCAGAATCACTGGTTCTCTTTTTTAAGTAGGAACAGACACCTTTTTATATTTCAATGTTTTTTATTAATTTTAAACAGTATAAAACAGAGGCAACAAAACACGCATGCAGGGGCTATCAATTGCACAGATAAAAAAATGCAAAATAGAAAAAACAGTGCTCTAACGCCAACAGGGCAAAAGGTACGCCCATGCAGGGGCTATCAATGGCACATAAGTTACAATAACATTAATGTAACTCCGACTGTAACAACTAAAGGCAGCTATCCACTGTCACACCAAAAACAAACAGAGTAAGAGAGAAAGGAAAAAAAAAAAAAAACAGAGCAGGGGTCCAAGAGAGCCAATACCGAACGCCATTACATCCCCAGACTAGCCGGGGGGAGCATGGGAAAGGCATATTGCAACCACGACTCCCATATTTTCAAAAATTTATGTTGGATTCGGAACAGGCCCCTTTTTAAAAGGAACTTAGCCTTTAATACATTTACTGTAAATTCCTGTGCCTATGTTGTCCCTAGCAATCAATTCAAGCAGAGCTGATACCCATAGTTCTTGCCATTATGTACAAATATTCATGCTCTCCATCAGTGATTACAGGTTTATGCTTACCCACATCACCCTTTTGCCACTACTGCCATCTTCTCCAGTTCTTTGTCTGGGTCTGGAGACTTCTGTTGGCTGACCATAGATGACATAACTCTATTGCATGGGAATTACTTTGCCCAGCACCATCTTTCTACTGGCATTTTACAGCTGTTAGGAGTCTACACTAAAATGAATATGCATTGCAGTCAGTGTACATTTAAAAAAAAAACAAACTATAGCAGGCAGGGGAAGATTTTTTAATTGCAGAAGAGAAATACAGATAGACTTTCTGGTGTAAAACTCTTCTTTCAAAAATTTATTTAGTTCTGATTTAACTGCCATTTCTGCAATTCAACAATTCAAACAATACAAATATTCTGATTTGCTGCTTTTTTCTATACTGTTCATCATAAATCAGTTCTTTTCATTTAGTAAAATAAAAAGCTCAATCCACAAAGTTTACACACCAGAATAAACAGACTTATTTTCAAAAAAAAAGTGATGGCTGTTGTTAGGTTGAGATTTGAAAATTGCAGTCACATGGGTAAAATAAATATAGTCATTCTTGTGTTGAAGGTTTGTGAATGGAGTCCTTATTTTAGCCAAGTGTGCTCACTCCCACACTCATAGACACGCACTCACGTAATACATACCAGGATACAACCAAGCACTAATACAGGAATGCATTGTACCTGTTTTCTCGCTCTTATGGACAAAGAACAAATAACCACTGCACTTTGTTCCAGTGTTAATTTCTATGTCCTGAAGGCACATAATAAACACCAAGACAGTGTGACTGCTCTGTAGAGCCTGAGGATACATTACAGGTGAAGGAATGCATTGTTTCCCTGTAATTCTCTGCAGGGCATACTATACAGAATTGGTATTTTGTAATATCTGCAGGGATGAATTTACCACAACGTATTTCATATAATTCTATTTATACATTGTTGTTATATTCGAAGCCAGGTTAGGACCAGTAAACCAGAAAAAGTTCTGCGCAAAAGAGAGGATCCTAGCAGAGTGGTATTGCTTTGGGCACTAGTGTTTTTGTGTGTACAGGCCCCAGTGATGGTAATCCTGTTTATCTGTACTTCTTCATATTTTCATATGCTCCTCAGACTGGAAGGCTCCAAGGTTTGAATCTAGTTGCACAACTAAATGAGATCTGAGTTTACATACTCCCTTTGTGCAGGAATACAATACAGATGTTTCCATTGGCAGAACTTGTTTTCTGTAGAGGCCATGGCCTAGGTACTTAACACACCATGATACTGAGGGGTAGATTTACTAAAACTGGTTCACTCAGAATCTAGTGCAGCTTTGCATGGTAGCCAATCAGCTTCTAACCTCAGCTTGTTCAGTTAAGCTTTGACAATAAAACCTGGAAGCTGATTGGTTTCTATGCAGAAATGCATCTAATTTTGTACTCCCCAGCATTAGTAAATAAACTCCCAAGTGTCATTAGTACATTTCTATGTATAATAAAAGGTTCTAGATCAGCCTTTCTCAATTTTTTTTACCCTAGAGAAAGCCCTAAAATAAAATTCTGGTCCCCTGAAGAACCAATTCATTGTGGGTCAATAGGGAAAATGCCCATTACATTGGTGGTCAGTAGGAAGACTGCAACCCTTACAGTGGTGGCCAGAATGCCACCCTTACAGATAGCTAAAAGAGATAATTAGTGTCATACTGCTGGCTTTGTCAAGTGGCATTAGTCCTGTAACTATGCTGGCACTATCAAATGGGAGATAAATCATTGGAGGAGAGCAGGCTGAGCTTCCAGCACAGCTAGAGAATTGACCATGCTGTTCTTCAATGCCTGGTGTGGTCAATTTTTAATGGGAAAGCAGAGGGACTGGCAGGAACACCAACAATTTCACACAAAGGAAGCAATACAAAGAGACCAGGATTATCTTTCATACAAGTACATGGGACAGCAGACACATATCAGGAATATGAAATGTTGAGTTTACATATTCTTTAACGCTGTTGTACTAACACTATCCTGTGCTCTCTCTTTGCATTATCTTATACAATTAGTTCCACTACCTTTAGATATACACAGATCTGGTAAGGATGCAGTTTTCTGCCCTGACACTAGTAAAGAGAGTTACATTTTAAAATTTTGTCCTATAAATATATACAGTATATATATATATATATATTTATGTAAATTCCAAAGATTTGGAGTATTTTTGAGGCACACCCCACTGCATGCACTATATAATATTAACTGCTCCAGATAGTCTAGTTATCTTACTTTTTCTTTATCTAATTGTGATTTGCAGGTACAGTGCAATTAAGGAATATCTGACTGGATTGGATTTAGAGACCAACCAAGCACTGAGGGACATTTATGGCTTCAACAATCCTCTTACTCGCAGACGCAGAGACTTGCAACTACAAGAGACTATTCCAGAAGAGAAGTTAAATTATTTAAAAGATATCAAGTTATTTACCATTAGGGGCATAAATGGAGATGAGATCATTGCTGATGATATCCGTACAGGTAGACGTTCCAGAATGAACGCAAGAGTGGTCCATCAGAACAGAGAGAGAACAGTTGGAAATATTGTGGGTTATAAGTTGGTGAGTCACCTGAACATTCCACTACATTCTAATAATATGGGGGGCCTCCAATTCTATTATGCTACACCATACTGCCACTATCAGCAACACTTTCTTTGTTCATTCCCTCCAAAATAAATAGATTATAATGTGCTTAAGTGGAATCCGTCCTTCATGCTACCCTCAATAGGTCATACCACATTAACTTGAAAGAACAGACCCAACAGTCACCACTCATGGTGCCTGTTAGAAAGCAGTAAAGTGGCATCAATTTAAAGGAAAATGTTCATACATTTATTAAATCCTTTTGGTTAATTCTGCATATACAATAAAGAAAATAAACAATAAAGAATAAACAATAAACCTTTAGAACAATTTGGTCTCCCATCTTTAATGCTAGACAGTCCCACCCTACAAGTATATATTTCACAATAAAATGTGAAATTTATTATAGTAGGGACAGTAAAAATACAATCATCAATCCATAGGAAGTCACCAAATTATCTCACAAGTAATGATTCATCGAACTCGCTTAACATTGTTGTTTGAATGGAATTTGTCAAATTCCCAACATTTGCTCAAATATTTTAGGAATCCCTCTACTTTTGAAAAATAATTTCTACAGGACAAGGTATCTTTAAATTGGGTTTATCTATTACAAAAGCATTAAGGACTGTATTTCTAGTTCAACATTAAAGATTTACGGGCATAGTATGTAGCACAATAGATACTTCTTAAAACAGGTATCTGAAGGTCTCACTTCGATCACAAGTTCCAAAATAAGGGGTTGCTCCTCATAGGTGATAGTTTAAATCAGTGGTTCCTAAACATTTTCCAATTACAGATCCCCAATAGATTGGCCAGTATGTCCCCATAAACCCTTTTGCCAGATCATCTTAATTACCAGTTCTATTGGGTACAAATATGATTTAAAAAGATTTTACATTCACATGGATAACTAGAAATAGAACAACTGAATATAAAACCTATGGATTTTTTTCATATTTACTTATGTAAAATAAGCAAGTTACAAATACACAAGATTACTACAACTCAGGAAGCCTTTTCTACTGTTTTTTACAATCAAAACATGGCATCAAGACACAATTTTTGATCACGTTGCTTCCATGTAATCTGATGCATCAAGTTGACTTTTCCGCTTTGATTTAAGGCTGAATAATGCACATAATCCTGTTTCATTTTAAAATAATATTGATAAATCTAGTATACCGAGGTTACATACAGTTCATACAGTGTGCCCACCAAGAACACATGTTAGTGCAGTAAGTAGTTGGTTTGAGCCAGCTTGGGCAAACTGAACTATTTCAAGGGAAGTTAAAGGTAGATATAAACTTTAGGGTAAGGCTGGTGTTCAGCATTAAATATAATTTACCCAACATTCTCAGATTATGTACATTGGACAACATACTTTATGGAAACTAAACATATTAGTGATAAATGTTGTAATTATGAACAAGAATTTACAAACTTTATATAAATATATATAAACCATTTCAGTACATTGGGCCTAACAATAGTACCATTTTGGGTATATAGTAAACATAATATAATTTTTAATCTGAATCACTCTGAATATAGCTTATCTTGGTTTCCAATTAAATTCACCAGAAAATCAACACATTTTCAATACTGGGTTCCTTACCCTCTTATCGGCAATCCAAATCCAGTTATTCACTATATTAACCATATCAGTACTACCTATTGTACAGGTAGAATGACACAGAATGTACACAGCTCATATTTAGCTTGGCAGTTAAAAGTGTACCTCCTTTACATTTAGCCATGTGGGTTTCTGGCATTGGATTGATTGGGTTTATGTTATTTGACTGGTGAGCTTTATAAACACATCCATTAATTCAGAATTGTTTCCTTTTTTCTTCACACTCTAGTGTGACCCAAACAACAGCTCAGATTGCACAGTGTTCACCTTCAGCTCAGCTATCAGTGCCATCCAGGAATGGTACAGATTACATTATACAAACATCTTGGCCAAGATTCCGACAGAAAAGAAGATTGAAATGGGTTACTCCGCTGAGGACCTGTTTGTCAGTTGTTTCTTTGATGGTGCATCATGTGATGCAAGGTGAGCTGAACTTACTAACAAATACCACAGTCATTTACTTCAGTTATTTGGAACAGCATATGTCTCTAAAGGATGTAAACCCAGAGTCTTGGATATAACTATATGATGAGAGGGATTATCTTTTTATATAAAACTATGAAGGATTGAAGATATTCTGAAAGGGTGATATTAATCTATGCCTCCTGTGCCAATAAAGACCTTTTCCGTAAAGTGTATGCAAAACTTTTTTAAACACTGTCCCATCTCTGCCCCATCAGAGAGATCTCTTATCACTTTATGTCCTGCATACACAATAGGAAATTAGATGAACTCTTCATTATGTTAGGGGAAAACCCCTAATAAACAGATGTTACTGGAAAAGGTGCCCCTATTGGAAAACATTACTTTATATCCTGATAACAATGGTTACCAGCATGGATGAGCTGGGTTCAATCTGAACTAAATCCAAACTTAGTTCTGCAGAACCTATAGAAAGCTGTAACATGACTGCCTCCCTCCTTGGCCATTAGTGGCCTTATTATGTAAATGATCACATGAGCATCAGCTCCCCTTTGCGTATATGCAGATATGGATGGATGGAGAGTGCCCTGACCACAGCTGACTGTGCCAACGGGGATGCAATCATCTGACCACTTCCTATAGGTTCTGACAAACTAGATTCAGGCCAAGTTTGGACCAAACCCAGCTCATCCCAAATCACCAGGACAAACAGAGAAGGTGACTCTTCCCAGATAACAAAGACAGCAATAAGAACCTACCATGGAAAAAACACAGTTCTCCCAACTAAACTTACAAGATGACTAGTTACTAAATTCCCATATCAGTAGAAATACAAAAATGTTAAGGGTACGCGGACCCTCTTTTTCAAGGTGGCAGACCTGGATATCTTTCTCCTTGAAAAAGATAATATGTGTACCCTCAAACGCAGGTGTTTCTACTGTTATAGAACTTCAGCAAACAGTCTTCTTTGAAGTTCAGTTGGAGATCTGTTTTTTCCCTATGTCTGGATCTGCACGGTGGCACTGTTTAGCCAAGCACACCCATTTAGAGGAGTTATGAGGTGTGCTGTGCTCTATTATCAGAAATATGAACTAACATGAATTTTAACATTTCTAAACAAAAAAAGCTAGAACTCACAGTATAGCAATTACTAAGTAAGTGTTTAGACATGTGTGGCAAGATATGAGGCTCCTTTAGACATAATTAACCCCCTGCAGCTAGACAAAAATCAAGAAACTAAAGTTGGTAATTGAGAAAAGACTTCATTTCAAAGCAACCATGCATGAAATTACCCTTTGTTGATGCAGATGAACAGAAATATTTCAAACATCTCTCTGAAACTGATATGTAGATTTGTCTGAACACTGACATCAATCATATCATGACAGTCATAAACTTTATATACAGTATTTTATTTGTTTATATATGTCAGCAAGCAATTTAAAGAGTACATTGTTGAGTCAACCTGGTGTTGTCTAACCAAACAAGCTACCAACCCAATGTTCAGTACTGAAAGTGGAAAGGGCTAATCAATTAAGCTATTCGTTGTAATGTAAAGCAATGGTGTTCCAATAGTGTAACCCCCAAACTTGAGTGCCATGTCCCACCCATTTGTAACAACCATCATGCTTTTTCATTTACTATGCAATACAGAGAATGCAGCAAGTGGAGCGAGATTTCTTCACTTGGCTTCATATTGGCCATGGTGGGGTAAAGAGCTGGAAATGTCATCAAGCTAATTTCTTTTAGAGATATTAGAAGGTCAATGAGTGACTCAACTAAGATGTGTCCAACCATAGTTAAAATTTCAGTATTGAGTTAATGGACCTTTTAATTAAGAAAGCTAATGAAACCAATATTATTTCCAATACAGGGACTTCACTCTGTTTACTCACCCTCTCTACGGCAATTGCTACACCTTTAATGATGCATCAAGAGAGAAGCTGTTTGAATCTTCCATGGGTGGAGCAGAAGCTGGTGAGAATTCAGTCATATACATATTACACATCTGTTCTTACTGCAAGTCAATTTTGTATGTCTAAATCAAAGTTATTGAAGCCATGGCACTCCAGTTAGAATTCAGCAGCTAGCCATAGATGTAAAATTAAAAAATATATGTACCAGCCTGTTTGCAGTTATCTGTAGAATGTACATTCGGCTGCAGATGCATAGCTCAATTTACATTCTGGCACAGTGTCTGTGTGCCGGGATAACTATACTCCTGCGCATGCATGGGAGTGACATCATCCCACGCTGGCCAGTCAAGCCTAAGAGAAGATGCCGGTGGGAGAATTCAGACTGGTGAAGCATAGGTATTTGTAGAATGTACATGAACCTGTGGGTTAATTTAAAGCCCACCAGTCTGGGTAGAAAAGCCTACGTCCTGCCATCATTCTGCAGAATGGGACCCTTGCTCTCTGTGGGGAAGCAGTGATCTCTTTGTAGGGTTCTGAGCCCCCTGCTTAATAAGAGCCAAAGCTCTCCAATCGGTGAGAAGCCTGGTTAATGTAGGTTCTAAAATAAGACCATTGCTAACCACAGAGAACAAGGGTCCTACTCTGTAGCTGCCAGCAGGATACAGGCTTTTCTATTGAGACTGTGACTGATTTAAAAAGAAAATGAACTGGAAGATACTGAATGTCTTTTTTGTTTTGCGCATGGAATATTTTTAGCTTATTTAAACTGAAGACTCAATTGAGCGTTTAAAGATCATAAAGAGGTGTAACCACACTGAAGTTTGTCTTTGGTCAGCCCTTTAATTATCCCTTACTAGCTTTTCATGTGATGTATCTATCATGCCTCTATTTATGGTAATACTATAATTGTTTTATCTTTCTTTAGGGCTGAAGCTTGTTATTTACATTGATGAAGAAGAATATAACCCCTTCCTAGTGACAGCAGCTGGTGCCAAAATATTAGTCCATGACCAAAATGATTATCCATTTATTGAAGAGTCAGGGACTGAACTTGAAACAGCTACTGAGACATCTATAGGCATGCAACTGGTAAGTAAAATTCAGAGTGAACAGAACGCTACTGTTACAGTTTTCATGTTCTGGAATCTCAACCTAACACAGGCTTTTCAGTTCATGTGCTCATTGGCTACATGTGGCCAAATTAGGCCTAGTCAGGTTGTGTGTCGGTTCTTGAATTTGCCATAAGGGCTGGAGTAGCAGGGGTAATGTATGGGCCAATATGGCCTTATGTAGATTGCTCAGCCTCTTCACTGTAGTAGAAAAAGTTTCATCAGACTACATACAATGTAATTTCCCGTCCCATAGCAGTCCTGCAGTGGCATGTGGTATCAAGACCTAGCTGACACCACTTGTTGATCAATATTGGCTAGGCAAATATATTTAGGCTGCTGTTTTCTGTCCACTAGGCTTCTTTGGACAAGATTAATCATATCAATTTAAGCATGTGTTGGAAAGTATATTGTAGACTAGAAAGATGTAACCTCGTTTTTAAGGTGAGGGATTATCAATGACATTAACAGAGACTCATTGATTATCACTGGTTCATACTTTATGTAAAGCTTCACACCCCTTAAAGCTAAGCTTTATAAAATAGTAATAGGCAAACAACCTTAAAACCAAAGAAATACATCATAACTAGCTTAATTTAAGAGAAGTAACTTAGAGCAGCCTATCAGAATTCATTTTACTGAAGTCAGACTAATACAACATTGAGTCTCATCAGTTGATGCATTTAAATATTAGCACTTAAAGTATATCTAAACAACATTTTTTTTTCAGTTTTGCATAGAGTATGCATGGATTAAAATCCCTACAAGGTGTATAGGGTCATCTGAGTCGCCCTCTCTATTTGTCTTACGATCAATATCACTGGGAAAGGAATTGAAGGAAAAATCCAAAAATTTCAGTTACCACTGGAACAGGAATAGAGGAGAAATCTTTCAATGGACACTTATTGCAGTGATAACTGTTTGAGAGAAAATTACTCTGAGGAGTTTTTCTCTTAGTTTCATTGTGGAAATCTCCCCAATGGGACATAGATGAAAAAAAAACATTATTAAGAATGAAAAAGAAAGCTTTGGTTTTAGATTGATTATTTTGATTTAAGGTTGATTTACTAAAACTGGAGCGTGCAAAATCTGGTGCAGCTCTACTTTAAAACCAATCAGCTTCCATTTTTTTTTTGCCAAAGCATAATTGAACAAGCTGAAGTTAGAAGCTGACTGGCTACCACACACTGAGGTCTAGCAAAAACAATGATTCAACCCCACAGTATACTTTAAATATAAGATCCCTTTGCCTAGTTAGGTTAATTGTGTATTTAAAAAAAATTGGGTTGCTGTGTTAATATTCTTTTTAGACATATTTGGAATTCTCCCTTAGAATTAAATATAATTAATTAGATTTAAAGACCTGTTAATTGCTAAAGAAGATAATGTTCTACAGATGTTACCATAAAAGCAGAATTAACCCCTCAAGGTTCCAGACATACCCCCCTGGGGCACCCATGGCACCTTTCCAGATCATGGGCTGTGAACTCTAATGATCACGTGTCCAGCCATAACGTCATTCTTTATATGGTGATTTAGTGATATGTAAAGTACAAATTTCTTTTATGACAAGCTGATACCCAGTTATCCCTCTAATCTCTAAAAGCATGACCAACTATAATTTAATTTAAATAAGGAAACACGTGTCAACAAGTCTTTAAGGTAACTCAACACTGTTGTGGTGATTGATATAAATTTCACTGTATATTAATAAGTAACCAGCAGTAATGGAATATATCCTGATACTATTTGATTCTGATTTCAGACAGAGTCATCAAAGCTAAGTAGCCCCTACAGTGAGTGTACTATTGATGGAAGTGATGTCTCTGTCCCAAATCTCTACAACAAGACGTACACTTATCAGGTATGTGTATGTGGTTAAAATGCTTCTATAGCAGGTTGAAAGTGGAGAGGTGACACTTGAATCTAAAAATCTAAATCAGAAAATAGGATAAATTAGGTGATTAATATTACCAATAATATCACCTGAGAACACTGAGTTGTTGGGAAGGAGCCCATTTAAAAGAGAAGTTCAGGAATAGAAAGAAATAAGTGATCATCCTCACCTAGATGACTGCAGCACCAGTATTCAGTCTGCGGAGAGCTGGTTATTGTCAGTCACCGGCTCTGTGCTCTGCTGAGCGACGTCAACCAACAGCAGGCTTTAGCCCTCTGTCAGCTGAAAATGGGTCCCAGGAGTGGATAACTAAGTTTTGTGATTTCCATCAGATGTAGGGCCAAAGGAGCTTCTCCTTTAAGAAGTATTCTGTAGAACATTCTGCTGATTTTTGTGTTCACCTGTCAGGTACAGATTTGTTGGTAATACATATTAAAGTACCTACGTCATGTATTTAAATTTTACATGTCTTTCCTTCTACTAGATCTGCCTATATTCCTGCTTCCAGCTCGAAATGGTAAAAACATGTGGTTGTGCGCACTATGACCAACCCCTGCCAGAAGGAGCAAACTACTGCAACTATGAAGAATATCCCAGCTGGAGTAAGTTTTATCTGAACTCTCCTTTCTTATGTTAGTATGTGTTTTTATCCATGGTCATGCCATTTTTGGTACGTTTTAATACATTTTAGACCTTTCTTTGCTGTCATTCGGTCTGTTTAAATGAATACACACCAAGAACGCAGTAACCTGCTTACAGTAATAAAACATTACTAACTAGATGGTATAAAGTGCCAGAATTCATAAGTGGGACACCTTAATTTCCCTGCTGTGCTGGAGATACTGCAGGGAAGTGAACAATATTTCACACATATGGTGGTTTTGTACTTGAATCGTTCAATGTTAGAAGACCATAACATACCTTATAGGTGAGAATACCTCAATAAAGATTCCACATGATCCATGGATAATTTTATTACCTAGTGCTTCACTACCAACAGCTAAATATTCCCAGCATATTGAATACTGCTAAAAACCTAATTCCCATTACCAGAAGCCAAACTCAATTTCTCCAGTTAATGAACAGTTGCTAAATGTAGATAAATCTGTTTGTCAAGATAACAGTAGTGAGAACAGCAGATTTATCAGGCCTTATATACTATTATTTGGATAAGTTGGATCTAATTTGGATTCAGTTTGAGTTGAAATTTATTTCTTTGGATAAACTGTTTTAAGTTGCAACTGTTATTATCTGGAGCTAATACCAGACCGAACCAGATAAATCTTTTGATGTTTTCAACCACACTGAACTGGAGGGAGGGCACTGAGGGGAGATTGGTTATTGGGTCCTCATTAGAAAATTAATATGCAGTATCTATGGGAAAAAAGACTATAGTAGTTGTTCTTTTCTGATCTCTTCTTTAGGTCCCTGATTTAGAGTAAGTTATTTTGATTTTAATGCCATTTCCATAAATGCAATGTATGGAAGGGTTCGTTATAGAATATTTTCAATTTCGTATTTTTGGAAGGTGTCTACTGGAATTATTATGGCTGACTTAAAATGTCTTTATGTTGTTGGCTATGTAAAAATTAAAAAACAAAAAGTAATATTTATAAAATATTTTAAACTGCACTAACATACAGCATTTTTTTTTTGAACACTCGGGTACAAATCTAGCTGCTTTGTATGGTTTTACATGGAGGCATTGCAGAGCAGTGTGTTCATACATCAAGCATCCTTCAATACACTCTTCAGACATCGCAACATAGATAAAGTGACATTTCCTGTACACGTGGATAAGTTTAAACACGTGTCAAGCAAATCAAAACTGAGTCTCTCAGCGCTAAGGATTAAAAGTAAAATATAATAATTAAATACATGTAGCAGCTAGTTGAAGAAAGGAACTCCCTCCTCAATTTAAAAAACACAAAAGCAATTTCAATGTTCCTGTTAACAGCTGTATTGACATGAATATTAAAATTGCAGGTTTTAAAACGTGCTGATAAAATGAAAATAGAACAGACGTCGTTTCATTCCATTGAGTATGTATGGGAGGTGCAATAGTTACTTTTATGTATACCCCCAAGTATACTGGGTATTTTCCACTTGCAGAATGTCCCCATAGCTCAGTGTGGGCAACTTAAAAGGGACCTTTCTTGAGAGATACATGAGGGGATGCCATTGCAATGATCTTTCTGAAAATGGTAGTTTTTGAATATTTGTGGATTACAAATTTCAGTTACTTTTCAGGAGCTTGTATGCATGACCGCCTTTCACTTAATAAATAAATTAATTATTTTTTTGTTTCAGTTTATTGTTACTTCAAATTGCATAAAAGATTTGTCCAGGAGGAGCTGGGATGTCAGGACATGTGCCGCGAGTCTTGCAGGTAAGAACATACCGTACCTTCTTTCATGGTAAGAGGAACAAAATAAGTAGGTAAAGGACACATCCCTTCCATGCCCCCATATACAAGGACCATGAAAACTGATATGCAAAAAACAAAAAAAAGATTGGTTAAAACGATTGGTGTTTTTTTCACCACCAGTTTTCCTTTACATTGGCTTTTCAAAATAACAAAAGCGACAATTTAGTGTTTGGATGAAAGGTTTAGCTTATTATAACAGTTTTGGTAATTAAATTGCACATTTTTCATTAGAGGTTTATACATCAAACTAAAAAGAGGGAGAACTGAGCAGGAAAGTGGGACAGAAGGATTTACAGTAGTTTCAAAAGATGGACCATCCTTGGGTGGTAAATGACAGGGATATCAAAATGCATCAAGTGGTTTAATGACCATACAAATTCATTGCTAAAATTAGTTCACAGAACTATGAGGCAAATACTAATATCCTTACTAATTTACTGCAGGACATGTCTTAGCACCTTTAATGCATTAAAGCTGAAGTTTAGGTATGCCAATATCTATATGGTTATATTGGTCTACCTTGGACCTATGTACAGTATGTGGTATACCTGACTGATCCCCATGAAGGTTGAAAATCACTGTAGTTGGCACTGCTACTACAGAGATTGCTGCTGGCTTCCAGGTCCAACTGTCTTGCTTTGAAAACAGGAGGTTGCTCACTTGGCATGGGCGCTATTCAGAAAACATTTTGCATACTGGAAAGTGGAAAGTGTTCTCTGATTGGATGAGGTGGAGATTGCGATGTCACTACCCCACCTCTCCACATTGTCCAGTCATAGAAGGTTTTGCATTCCTTGAATGGTGCCCATGCCAAGCGGGGCAAATCCAGTGTCAACATGTAGAAAGGCAGTCACTTGGCACAGCACCCAGAATCTAGTGAAGGTCACTCTAGTAGTAGTGTCTACTGCAGTCATTTACAGCTTCCACAGGGATCCCACAGGTATGGAATATACCGTACTGTACATCCATACATTGAGCCAAGCTGGACCAATGTAAACTATGTAAAATTTGCCATATCTAAACCTCAGCTTTAAACACTTTTACAGGTTTTAAAGAATAGTGCTGCACTTGACCATATCAAAAAATAGTGCGTAATAAAATGAAAAAAGTGTACAAAAGTTGCTGCAGTAAAGCCCAATCAAACCTTCTTGATTTACTTTCATGAAAGCTGAAGAGTCTAACATATATGCTTGTTTTTCTACCATTGTATTTAGCTGCTAAGTGTTCTACCAAGGGCTACAAAACGTCTTATGCTGGCATTACCTCTCACATGCAATGTAGCGGTCTGCCTCTCCATTTCAGTTCATTGTGTGTGAAAGCAGTGGTCCGACTCTCCCTTGTGCTGTCAGCCCAAGGAATTGTAACCCTTTAACACAGCAGAAAAAAAGTAATGCCTCATTCACATGGGTGATTAGGTCGGTCTGTAAATCAACATATTCTTGCATCCAGAACTACCAGTGTTTACTTTTAAATTTGGCTGCTCCACCCATGTGAATGAATGACAAGCTGACACATGGATGACTACGGAAGTGGATACTTGGGGTTAGGGACAGATGATTGCCCCTGGACACCAGCATTTGCATTTACCCATGGCTACACATAAACACTGGTGACTGCAGGTGCAAGAGAGCATTGATTCTTGCCGTCAGAAATCATAGACTGGCCCTAATCGCTCATTTGAATGAGACCTAAAAGACAATCGTATCTATTACTGTCAACGCAGCCTGGCTGCTTTACAGTAATAAATCAAGAGAGTTCAATTGGGCTTTAACCACCTCCTGTCTGGCCGTTGTATATAAATGGCCGGACGGTGGCAGTGCAGGGTCGGGTGGCCGTTTATAAATGGCCTCCCCGCACCCTGCTTGTGCGCGCTCCCTGGGAGCATGCAGCACCGCGATCCGGTGCCCGCTGTGTCCTCCAGACACAGTGAAACACTGATCATCGGATGGGACCTCTGTACGAGGTCCCAATCATGTGATCACTGATTGGCCAATCAGTGATCACATGCAAAGTAGTAAGCAAGATGTCACTTGTGACATCATTGCTTACTACGTGTGAAATCTGTGAATGATCACATAGGTCACATGGTACAAGGCTATTCACAACAGCCTTGTACCATGTGACAAGCTGTGACCAATCACAGCTCACTCAGTAGTTCTCAATGGCTGCAAGAATGCAGACAGAGAGAAAGAGAAATGATTGCTTTTACATCCTATATGGGTGTAAAAGCAATCAGTGTAAAAAAAAAAAAAAAAAAATCTTCATCACCCCCCACAAGTAGTACAGTGTCACAATTTTGTTTCTGGTGTCCTTCGACAGCTCTTTGGTCTTCACCATAGTGGAGTTTGAAGTGTGACTATTTGAGGTTGTGGACAGGTGTCTTTTATACTGATAACAAGTTCAAACAGGTGCCATTGATACAGGTAATGAGTGCAGGACAGAGGAGCCTCTTAAAGAAGAAGGTACAGGTCTGTGAGAGCCAGAAATCTTGCTTGTTTGTAGGTGACCAAATACTTATTTTCCACCATAATTTGCAAATAAATTCTTTCCAAACCAGCCAATGTGATTGTCTGGATTTTTTTTCTCATCATGTCTCTCATAGTTGAGGTCTACCTATGATGCCAATTACAGGCCTCTCTCATCTTTTTAAGTGGGAGAACTTGCAAAATTGGTGGCTCACTAAATACTTTTTTGCCCCACTGTATATAGTACTGGAGGAAATTGCAAATTCTAGACTCTCAAACAATGGTTTTCTCTGTCATTTTCCAGTTTTAAAGAATGGGCATTTATAAGGAGTGTGGCAAGCTGGCCATCAACGAAATCTGAGGTAAGTTCAGGATCTTTTTCTTTTATGGATAGAGCAGAGATAATTTTTTATTGCCATCTGTGTCCTTATTAAGGAAGGGGGAGGGGATTTCTCCTCACTTCCTGTCAGGGACATATACTGTACTTCCAACATCAACTTATTCAAAAACACATTTTTAGTAGAATAGGAACAGGTTAAAACTTCTGACAATGTTTTTATTGCTGTCCCAGTGACAACCACATCCCTCATTTCTTGTGTGGACGTCATAGGGACAGGAAATGAGAGGAAATCTCTGCAATGGGAGAAAAAAAAATGGACAGAAATTTTAGCTCTTCTGCACTCTATTCAAAACTAAAAAAGTCAGTATATAAAGTGCACCTTATGTAGTTCTTCCCATGAGAAAAGCTTTTTTTGGAAGAGTCATATTTAAGTCATTATGCCAATTCGAACACATTGGGTTGAATAAAAGTCCCCATGTCAGACTCATTTAGCAAAGGCTTATGTACACTGGACTTTTCAGTGGATCCCAATAACAAAAATGTAATATAATGCACTTTACAGTCCTTAGATGTGGTGGCTGTATTAATTTTCCTTTTTCAGGCTAAGGGCATTTGTAGCAAGTAAAGATGCACCAATACCAGTTTTTTTTGAACGAGTACGAGTACTGATACTTTTTATCAAGTACTCACCAATATCAAATACTGATACCAATTTTTTTCATGCAGTGCAATTTGAACCCATGAAAAATGAAAAGGCTCAAATTGCAAAATACTCATGCGAATGCTTAGTATTGGCTCCAATACCGGTATCAGTGCAATCCTAGTAGCAAGTACAGAAAATACCTGTTGATCCCACAAGAAATGCAGTATCCTTGCTACTACCTGTGATCTGAACTAAAAACACAAACAACCTTATCTTTTTTTTTGTAAACTACTAATCTGATCCATCCCTAGGTAATAGAGATGAATAAAAGCAGACAAATTTGAAGTTACAAACAACAGAAAATTTCTCAGCACACTTACCAGCTATCTTACAACAAAACCAAAATGACCCTGTCTAACAGTTCATGTTAAAACTGAGATTTTAGTTGCACACATTTCCAAATATATGTAAAAAGCCACAGAGCTTTGCCAAGGTTCCTCTGCATACTGTGGTACTAACTCTATAGTTTTGAGAGCCTCCTAGTTGGAGCACATATAGCAGTGGATACATTAACCTCCCTGGCGGTATTCCCGAGTGTAGCTCGGGGTAAAGTTTCAGTACCAAAAGCGGTAACCCCGAGCTACACTCAGGGCTTACAATGCGGCGCTGCTCCGGGATCTCTTCTCTTACCATGTCCTGCGCTCCCGCAATGTCCCTCCTGCAGTGTCCCCTGCAATGTTCTCCGGCGGATGCCGGCATCTGTCTTCTGGGTTCCGTCCCCTGCAACGTCGGGACGTATGGGGGGACGGAACTGGCGGGAAATTTGAAAATGACAAAAGGTGACATTCACTAAATAAACTAAAATCACATAGTAAAACATTACTGTATCAAACCATTTCACATACATTTTGTCCCTAGTGCTTTGTCCTGTGCCCTGCCTGCATTTTGACTGTTCTTATTGCCTGGAAACTGAGAAACATCCATGGCATCCAAAAAGTGTCCCTTTAGGTCAAAATCGGTTTTAGACCAACTAGAGAACAGCGATAGTAAATCAGAACCACTTGCAGAATTGAGTGATAATGATTTGTGGGGAAATTCATCATCAGACACTGAAAACAATTTTGTGACTTTGCTCAGTGATGTGCGAACTTGGCGCTATATTTCAAATTTCAGTATTTTTAGTTTGATTATATTATTGAATTAAATTTATTATTATATTATTATTTTTTATGATTATTTATTAAATTATAATTTATGATTTCGTGTTTCAAATTTTTATCATATCCGGGATGTTTACTAGACTCTTGTTCGGACAGATTTCAGTGAGTTATTCCTAAAAATTACAGACCTACAATAAAAAAAATACATATTTCCGTGCAAAGAAAATGTACCGCTTTGAGCACAGAAATATGGACACAATCAGACCGCTAGGGAGGTTAAGGGCAGGTTTGCCTGGAGGTAGACCAATCCTCCTTAAAGGCACAGGGACACTTTGGACACCCAGCAAAAGCACAATGGCGGCTGAAGGTATCCAATATGGTATTCAGCCGAAAAACTGTACAGATAAGTGGTAACCACCCCAACCTCTAACTAGCCTTTACAATAAGGTGTACATGGAAGGGTCCAAGACATGTTTGAAGTCCAGTATGGATGACAACCATGCAGTAAAAGAGTTAGATTTTACAGTAAAGCTTTAATAACTGATAAATTAAGTCAGCCTACTTTCTTGCTGTACAGGTTCACTTACATTTGTTCCTAATTTATGTCATATCTGTGTTTTTATTTTTTGTCAGGAGTGGACATTGCGGATTCTGTCCTGGGAACTTGGAAACAAACTCAATAAAAACCTGACAAAGTAAGTTTAATTAGCCCTTAAATCAGCTTTCATTCTCTTCCTTGTTGTAAGCCATAATCCATATAAGTGTATTAGGGTTATTATTCAAAGGCCATGCCAACAAAGACCTGTTAAAAAGAATGACTCATATCTTCAAAATTAGTTAAAAAGTCCAGCAATGTAATAGCAATATATACTGTAAGGAAAGAAAACATAATAAAAAATATTTAACTTTTCCAAGATGTCCTGGTGTAGTGGGCACATTCTCTCTCTTCAAAATAAAATCTGTAAAGAAAATCGAGCTTATCCATTAAGGAGAACCCTAATTTCAGCTGTGCATTTGAACAATTGTAAAAAAAATCTTCCCTTTAAATCTGCAAAAATATATTTTATTTTATGAACTCCTACTTACCCTCTAAGCATCCACTGATAACATTTTTATCCTGCCCTCCTCTGATTCTGTTGCCCTTGGTGATGGTCACTCATTCATTTGTCACCTTTGCCAGTTTTGCCCTGTATGTGTGCTCATATAGAAGAAATCTAATGCTACAACCATTGTTTTTTTTTCTGCTGTTACCCTGTCCTTATTGTATACTACCGTCTTACCTAAATTGTCCTACACAGTAGAGTCACCTTTTCATCTCTATAAAAAGGGCTGTACCCAACGATGACTTCATACAGCTAAATGATACCCTTACATTCTGTTTGCAATAATGACTTTTTAATTACAGGAGGATTTAATTTCCTGTTTAGTGATCTCTGTTTATTTAAGTGAGTTAGTAAAATTACAGCACATTAAGAAACGACCAGCCAGTTTGTTAATACCCGGTCACCAAAATGAAAGTCTGTTTGTACTTGTTTGATTTAGATGTAGTTTTCATGCAGATGAAGAAAATAATCCAGTTGAATTCTATGGGAAACAAGAACAATTTGTACTTTTATAAAAAATAATGGTTGTTGACTCTGATGATGACCGTGGAAGTCCATAGATACAGTATTTGTGGGCTTTTTGGACACAGGCAGTGTAAGATTAATAGAGTAAAAATGGGATGGACTGGAACTGAGCTTTCAACAGCTATAGAGTGGGAAGTAAACTGATTTCTGATTGGTTGCTTGCAGTTATATATTTTCTTTTAAACTGAGCCCATGTTAGCAAGTCTTTAAAGAAAAACATATCCAGTAAGTGTTTTCACATTTTCATTCTATCTAACTGGTGCAGACTCAGCTAAATTAGGAGGGCGCTCTGTCTACTAATTAACATATCCTAAAAAAAGCAAACTTTTTACAGATAGTACATAATCTGTACATAGGTACAGATGGCAGCAGATCTACAAAAATAATGATTTTATTCTGACTCCAGTAACCTAACAGTAGTTCCCCATATACTTGGTGAACTTTATTGCCCCAACACCAATAATGCTAACCTCCAGTATACACCGTGGAATCATGAGTTGTATGCCCTATTTGCCACCATGTTAGCACCATTGGTGTTGTCTGTGTGGTGTCGAGGTTTACACGTTCACTAAGCATTTACACAACGATCTTATGGTATTTATTTGGCTGTAATGATGTCAATTGATGGTGCTAGCAGGGTGCTTTTTTAATACTCTCTCTCTCTCTATGTATATATATATATATGTGTGTATATATATGTATATATATATATATATATATATATATATGTATATATATACATGTGCTTCCATGTGTTCCCTATCCTATATTTGTCATATGTCATACAATCCTAATGTATCCTAAAATGCTGATATTTTGTCATCTATAGATGCTAAAGCATCGAATCATTCATTGGCTTTTCCTATGTTAGGGTATCTCTGCTTACAGCATATGTCCAGGGTTTTTTTTTGTTTGTTTTGGATAGCATTTTTAAAGCAATTTTTATGGATTTATGGAGTTCTGTTAACTTCCCATAATGCTATAATGGTGATAGTGGTTACATGAGTTAGGTGTGCAGGTCTGCAGCAGGGAGACAGATAGCAATAAAAAGTTGGGGTTTTCTGTCTGTTTTTCTATTGTAAAATTCCCCTTGCTTGCTGGTTTGTGAAAGAAAGAGTTAATTTGAAAATATCAGCAGGGGCCAGCTGAATTTCGATCCACATGTAGACAGACACTGTGGTTGAACAGAAGTAATTTTGCCGATCGGATTGTTGGATTTTTGCCACTCAATCAGCACTGTTATATGGCTATAGACCAGGGTTCATCAACCAGGGTTTCATGGAGCCCTAAGGTTTCTCTAGAGGTTGCCAGGGGTTCCTTTAGTATGAGCAATTTCTGCTCCTCAGATAAGTTCCTATTCTTTCTACTGACCATCACACTAATATATCATGAGTTGTAGATATAGTACTTTTTAGCAGGTGTTCCCAGACACTGGAAAGTTATTTCACGGGTTTCTCCTTCTTGAGAAGGTTGAGAAAGTCTGCTATGGACTGCAGCACTGATCATTGCATTCTAATGGCAGGGAAGTCTCCGCTGTAAGAATACAAAGACACAGCAGGGAGGATTCCCCCATCCACCTTGAGTGTGTGGATGGGGGATTTGGGTCAGTTTTTTTCAATTAACCTTTTCTACTCCAAAACTAAGTTCTCACCCTTTCCTACTCTAAAACTAAAACAAACAGGTGTGGCTTGAAATATACTTTAAGAGGTCTAATTATAGAGGTCTATGTCTTCACAACATCTTCAAGATTCACACATCTTTCACTGAAGATTTCAATATTTTGTAATTGAATTCAATTGAAAATAATGTGTGAATCCTGGATGAAAGTTGTGTGATTCTTGTTCAATTACGATTTGACAAACAAACCTGAAAGTGATTGGTTTCTGTACAGACCTGCACCAGATTTTGTACTCTCTAGTTTTAGTAAATCAACCCAAAGTGTCATGAAGTCTCACTTTTTCTGGTAACATTTTCTTTCTGTAATGGCTGCGTTAAAACCAATAGGCATAGTGGGATACTTTTTCAATGATCATGTAAGGGGGCATGACGTAGGAATCATTTCCTCTTGTTCAGAAGTAAATACCATGACATGCATTGGTATGACCCGATGTCGTCTATCCAAAGCTTGTATGAAAGTGCTGTCATCCTTTCACTCCATACAAGCTGATGTTCTTAGGAACCACTGGGCATCCATCAGGCAACACAGAGTTTCCTCATTCCAGTAATTCAGCAATTGTTTGATGGAACTTCCTCCAAACTCCCTAATCCCAGTATCTATCCAAAGCTTCAGTTTTAGGTGATCTGATGCTTTAAGGGAATATGTTTCAAAACAAATTACTTGTCTCAGCTGCTGGAAGCAGACTTTCCCAATTCCTAGATTGTAAGCTCGAGAAAGCAGGGCCCTCAATCCCCTCATGTTTTGCATTGTATTGGTATTGCTCTGTCCCCCTTTGTAATGTACAGCGCTGAGCGAACTATTGGCGCTTTATAAATACTGTATAATAATAATAATAATAATCCAAAGTATTATACTAGTTCCAGAGCAGTTATGCTAAAGCTATTCAACTTACTGTTATGGAAGGTACTACTTCAAAATATGTGAATTTTAGCAGTCAAGAAGAAGCTGCTTTCAGCTGAGGTTTTTCTGAGCTTCATGAAATATTTCCTTAAAGTCTAAAAATGTCACTGTTTTCAGACTTTCAGGTAACTTCGATACTGAATCTACGAATCCATCATTATCATCTAACAATTACATTTTTGCTCTCTCTTTTTTAGATTCAACCTGGCAAATTTAGGCATATATTACCAAGACCTAAACCTCAGAACGATAGCTGAGAGCCCTTCTTCCAGTGTAAGTAAAGCATGATTTAGCAAAGGATAGTACTGAATTGGGCTTTTTAAGTACCAAACTATACTAAAATACAACCAAATAAAAAATTCATAACTTTAATCATAAAATTTCAAATACATGATGAAATTATGTATATCAGTTAGTAAATCCATAGAACGATGGCTGAAGACAATTAAGCCATACAGCTAAGTTTGAATCTCTCCAGGTATCATTTGTCTTAAATAACCTCATTATTGAGCTTCTTCACTTGAAAAAGTGATCGTTGTTCATGAAATGCATTGAGAGAAAATACCCTGAGTTTTGAAAACATGTTAAATATCAATATGCTAAATAATGAGGTTATATAACACAAATGATACCTAAAAATTTGAACTTATGTGTAAGGCTTCATTGGCATCATTTTATCATGTAATTGCAATGTCATGCTGTATGATTAAAAGTTATGAATTTTAGATTTGGCTGTATTTCAGTATAACTTGGTACCTAAAAAAACCTAATTCAGTACTATTTTTTTTTAAATCTTCATATTGAGGATTTTGGATGAAATGGCTAACTGTATATGGCTGTTCAGTGTCCCTATTGTCTTGGATGTCTGATTGCTGCTTTTATAACACAATATATTTTTGTCTCATTTTTTGTATGTGTTAAACTGCATAATAGTCTGTAATACAGTACTTCTCAGGGACTATGGTAGTAGGATGCCTGCTTGAATTTCCAGGCCAGTGACAAATTCTGCAATGCCATTGTTTGGCCAAACCATTACCATTAATGTGACACTGGTTTGGCACATTTAAAGCAACAGCATGATAACATTTTTATTGAACAAGACTTGATGTGTGGAACAGTATTTCGATGCTGATGGGATAAGTGTACCAAGATATATCAGGTAGCTAACTCAAGATGTCTTGCATAGTATAACTTCCAAAAACAGTTGCATCTTGAATTGTTTTTACTAATAACATGGACAGTCCAGAGAAGAGGTACCGTAAATAGAAAAAAAAACTAGATGACAGTCTCATCTTTATCTCTTGGCCTTCTGAACTCTGCTGTTTGTATAGACCCTGGGAAAAAACAACACATTGATGAAGAGCTGGCAATTCCGTAATTTTTTTCCCAGAGCATATTATATCAATATATAGCTTTAGTCTCTAAAGGGTAGAGGTGGGACTCTCCACAGTTACTTTGATAGTGCTGTATGTACCAACAGAATAATGGAATGTTTCTGTTATTAACTGGGCTTAATCTCTTTCTACAGCTTCCTAATCTACTGGCCAACTTTGGAGGTCAGCTGGGCCTGTGGATGAGTTGCTCTATGGTCTGCGTCCTAGAGATTGCAGAAATTTTCCTCATTGACTCCTTCTGGGTGGTCTTGCGTCAGAAATGGCACAAATTCATCAGATGGTGGAAGAATCGCAAGGGAAAAACAGAGCAATCCCCTGGCCAACCAACTCCAGTCATAGCTGGTCATGACAACCCTTGCCTAACAGATGAAGACCCACCTACCTTTAACACAGCTCTACAACTGCCTCAAGCCCAGCACTGCCAAGTACCAAGAACACCACCACCCTTATATAGGTCTCTACAGCTAGACTCAGCATTCAATGAGCTGAGGGAAGAAGACGTGTCTATAGAACATATGTAAGAGAATCACAGAGAGAACTTTTTGAATTAAAGTCACTTTTGAATTCTTACACTGAAGAAGCCATAGTTCAAAAGAAGAAAAAAGTGAAGCTGAAATGTTCAAAAGATCATGGTAGTAAATGTTCTTTTTGGTGCTTGATTGAAATTCACTGTAGACTTTTGATCCCTCACAATGTGCCACAACTGAGTTGACAAGTTTTCACTGGCTGGTATTGTCACTTAGTCATATAACTATTGGTTATTAAATAATTGTATATAATGCTAATTTTACTTGCACAACTAGGTATTTTTTAAGTCCAGTCAAAAATTCAGTTTGAATCTGTAAAATGCGTTCCAGATGCATCAAAACAAAAGGAACTAAATGTCTAGCAGTTCATTTTATTCCTAAAGCAGCCTGAGTAAAAAAAGTGTGTCCCAAGCCAGCAGCTTGCTCTCTGTGGAGAAGCAGTGGTCTGTCAGCTGAGGTCCAGCACACTCCCTGTTGAATCAGAACCAGAGGTCTCTAATCAGCAGGACATACAGTATAAGCTTTGCTGATTGCACAACTATAGGTCGGACACTATAGGGCACATGTCAGACCTCTTCTGCTACTCCACACAAGGATCTCTCTTTGCAACTGCTGGCAGGGGATAGGCCTTTCTACGCAGGCTGAGGCTGCTTTGGAAAGAAAACAAACTGTTTTAATGCACCTGAAATGCATTTAGCAGATTTAAACTAAAATTTCAAATGTTGTTTAACTGATTCAATGAGCAATTGTAGTAATATGGTAGAACAGTAATGCCTAGGTATAGGCTAGTTTTAATGAAATTGATAGTTGATTTTGTACTGTACTGACTTACAAATCTTGAATTCTTTCTTGATAAATTACTTGTATTAGCTGTTGTAAGGGTACTATTTTCAGGCAAAACTGTTTTTGTTAGCCTGAAGATAACTCAAATATGTTATCTGGATAGAAAGAAATTTAATACAGAGAACAGAGCCTATGGCCAATAAGCTTAGAAGCAAATAAAATATTGTATCAATACATTTACAAATATCAACAGAAACAATATACCCAAAGAAATCCTATGGTCTGCATGGAGTGGTTGCAAGGGCATAACTAGAAATCACAGGTCCACATAGCAAAAACTGCAATGGGCCTCAACAGAAAAAACACAATTGTATAGGGCTCTAATTGCCATGGTAAATGACAAAGGAATGAAAAGAATGCAGACGTATAAAATAGTAAAACATGACAGAAAAGGGATGTAGTGGGGAATAGGGAATGTACAGCATGGCATGAAATGAGGTGTTGCTGAATAAGGAACAAACAACATAGTATATGAAACTAGGCAGTGGTAATAAGGAATGTACAGCATGGTATATGGAATGAAGTAGTGAGAATAGGGAACACACAGAATGCCGTATGGAATGAGGTGGAGCGGTATGAGAAATGTACAGCTTTTTTTAACTGACTGATGGGCTGCATAATAGGGAACAGCATGGTGTATGGAATGAGGTTTGGCAGCCTAAGGATTATACAGCATGGAATATGCAATGAGAGGGTGTCATTGGAAATGTAAAGCATTCCTTGCGGAAAGAGGTTTGGCAATGTAGGTAATATACTACATTGCATATGGAATGAAGGGTGCAAAAAGAAAATGGACAGCATTGCACACAGAATGGGGGGACAAAGAATGGTGGATGGTAAGCATACCATATGAATTAAAACATTGCAGCAAAGGGAGTTTACGGTGGAGAGTAGATACAAAGCACAGTAAAAATGGCTCATCTTTGCTGTTGCTGCTGCTCAGGCTGACCCTATTCAGACCTCGATCATCAAGACAGAGGGAAGTGTGGGGTGATGATTTGTCAGAACCCCAGGGATGAGAAGTGCTGGGTGGAAGATTTCCTGTTCCATCAGAAACACTGACAGAACAAGAGTGTAACAGACAGAACAGTGTGGAAGTGTGGGATTTGACAGCTCACCTAATCAATTCTGTCATTTGTAAACACTGAAGCCAATAGATTAGGTCTTCCACTACTCACTTGTTCGTGGCTCAGCAAGATGACATCGTTTTCAGAGCATGGAACAACTGAATATTAGAAGACATCCTATGCAGGCTTCTGTGTTCACAAATGATAACGGTGATCGGGTGACCTGTCAAATTCTGTGCCAGTTCAGTGTGATTGAAGGTCTAGATGGGTTGGGCTGCCCAGTGTGACTGTCAGAGTAGGAGATATTCTGCCCAACCCATAGCTGGGGTCCCGATGCCACGTGGTCTGCTATAGCAGCAGTTCCACCAATAGGTGATCACAAAATACAACATAGTGGACTTAAAGTAGACATAACAGTCACAGGGGCGGACTACCATTTGAGCACTCGGGCACTGCCCGGGGGCCCGGGGTCAGTAGGGGGCCCCATGAAATTCCCCTGGCACCTTTTATAGGCTTTTTTTGGGTGTGCTTTGAGTGTGGACAAGGACACAGGGGCACCATGATCCCCTATTGCCTGGGGGCCCCATGAGTTGTCAGTCCGCCCCTGCCCAGTAACTAAAATTTCAGAAAAGCTTTTTAATTTTTAAATTAAAAAGAAAGACATATTTCAGTCTTTGAAAATCTGCACTTTTCATTAAAGGGATAACAGCTCAGCTTTAAGTACATCCAGTTGTCCTTTACACCAACACTCACTGCTGGCATACAGAAGCTTATAGTAACCAGTATACAAAATACAGTATATTGATGTTCATCAGATCCCTCCGCATATCGGCAGGCAGGCTTGTGGTGTGACACGGTGCTTCAATACTCACAAAGTGTTTGGATATCTCTTCACCCCAACTGGATCCCTATGTAATCCTACTCAGGGAACTTGTCCTAATCAATGTATTAAAGTTATCCAGTGGAACACCTCTTTAGAGATGTTTAAATTAGGTAGACTCAATCATCTAACCTTAGTGCTTCCGATAAAGTTGACCATTCTCCATCTGGTGATTCAGGAGGTTTAATAGCCATAGGTGTTTTTGTCAATAAATGACAATTTATTGGACTAGGGCTTCATGTGCCTGGGTGAATTGGTTAGTCTATGTTTTTTATGAGCTAATTTTGTTCACCACTAACTGAAAGAGGTTATCAACACTAAACACTGGCCCCAGCACTGCATAGGATACATGTGATTTAGAAGAAAGTAATAGGACATGTTTGGGTTCTGCCATTAATTCATTCAGTGGTCATCTTAGAAGTATTTGTCTGCTGCCACACTTTCCCAGTAGATATTGAAGTGACACTTAAGGTAGATACTAAATAAAAACCTGTAATTGAGTTATTTGGTTATTTAAAATGTCATGATAATCAGTTAATATATAATGCTAATATGATTCCATTAAGCCTGCCTTTATATAGTACCTTGACATTATTCACTGCACTCCAAAAGCGAGGATCAAAGTGGGAGCATAGGCCTGTGAGCTAGCTGTCTTTTTGAATAAACTGAAGGTAGAGAGGTGCCCCGAAAGTAGATCCGTGGGCTCTGAATTATGTACCCACTAGCTATATAGCTAAGCCGAATACAAACAATTTGGTGCTATGTTTTTAAATCCTACATTTAGCAGTTTGTCATGCATTCTGTTTTAATAAGCTCATAAGCTCTTTAATCAACTGAGCTGTGTTCACCTAGAAGTGAAATTCTGCTTATACTAATGAAAACGCGGACAGGTTTCCTGTAGGTACAAACCCTATTACTGAAATTGCATCATATTACAAAATACATTTGTTTTACGTAAACCTATTCCTTAAACCTTTAGCTATCCAAAAATGAAAAAAATGTGATATTCATAACTATTTGAAACACATTTTACTGATCTTTATGACTTGTTTAACACTTGTTTTGTGTGCTATAGGATTCTTGTGCTGTGCACAAAATGCTGCTATGTTTAATAGAGTTAAAGAGTTACAGGCCTATTCTGGGGCCTGACAAAGAGGTCAATAAGGATGAACAATGTCCTGTAGCACAATCTTGCACCTTCAGGTTATCAGCAACATGAATGTACTGTACAGGTTAAGCAGTCTTTGTACAACCAGTATAAATACATAGATATTTTAAAATATATATTTGTACTCATGAATGTACATATTAAGAGACACATGTGTATATTAGGATACTATATTTGAGACTGTTTGCTGTGAATTTTGTCTTTTTAATAAAATATTCCCATTGAGTTTCATTGTGTATCCTGGCTTCAAAAATAATAATGCACAGCAGCCAAATTTTAATGTGGACAGATTATCTTGGCATTTCAGTGTGTATCCAGTTATTGCTGTAGTACAATTGTAGGGGTAGGCTGGTGGTACCTCCTCCATGCTCCCCATTAACTCATTGGGCATCAACTGTGGGTCACATAGTGTGGGTTTTTTGGGCTACTCCAGGCATGGAATGGGGTAACTGACCTTTGCATGTGGGGTAGCTCTTTGCTCTAAGGTATACTCACCAATGCCTGGGATCAGACAGGAGCTGCGGTCATGTGAAAAATCAAACATTAAGGTGACTTTATAACTTAAAGATGATCCACATCTGTGCAGTACCCAAAGTTCCTCCTTAAGCTACTTCGTCCCATGTCATACAAACTCGTACTGATGTATGTGTTGCATTCGGAGGGACAGACTATGCCCACTCCACCAGTCAGCGTACCTCTGCTACCTCACTCTCAGTAACAGAATGGGGTACTGTCAAGCACATAGCTTGGACCTCATCACTTAACTCTTCTCTGTCTGTACCTAGTGACCAGGCCTTAGATCTCCATAACGCTAGTCCACTCTTGGTCACGGGCATAGACAGCTAGGGAGGGAGTCACAGCATGAACCTTTACTATCAGAGAGCATGTCACCTTCTAGGTACCATGCCAAAAACTGTTTGCTATTTCTCGCTTGCTATTACTTATGTTGTAGTGATGTTACACATACCCCATACTGTGGTCATGAACCCAAGTTCTTTAGTAATACACCAGGACCTTGCACTTACCCCTTGAATAA